TTTCAACTTTAGTAATCCCATTGAATGAACATATCATAATGTATGATAACCATTTGGTTGTTTACATTTATAACTACCACAAATAATACTTTATTGCCCATTTCTGTATGTGATACTTAACCGGTTCAGTTAGGTAGAACTGCTGGGTCATAAGGTATGCCTATATTTTAACTTTGATAATGCTAAACTTTTTCCAGAGTGGCAGTACCAATATAAATGCTCAGTATTAGTGCATTAGAATTCCCATTATTCTACATTGTCACCATTTGGTATTATAAGTTAATACCAAATATAATACTAACATAATACAATGAGCTAATCTAATGGGAAGATAATTGTCTCTTGGTGGTTTAAATTTGCATTTCCTTGGCAATTGAGTTGAACTCAGTTTCATATGTTTAATGGACAGCCGGACATCCTCTTTTTGAAGTGCTTCTTTACCTTCATGCTTGTTTTTCCATTAGGTGTCTGTCCCTTTTTCATTAACTTGTATATGTTGGCCAAAAAGTTTGTGTGGTTTTTTTCCGTAAAATAGAAGATACATTTTTCACTTTCACCAATAATTTTATTGATTTGGATATTTTGAGTATGCCAGCTATCTCCCACGTAGTATAATGTTGAATGTTGATTGTTCTCAATTAATGTCTCGATTTGATTGCTATTGACTTCAACTGGTCTACCTGACTGTGGAGCATCATCCAGCAAGAGCTCTCCAGCACGAAACTTCAGAAACCACTTTTGACACATTCGTTCAGTCACAGCGCTTTCTCCATACACTGCTCAAATCTTTTTTTGCATTTCAGTTGTGTTTTTACCTTTGCTCCATATTTTCTTCCATCTTCAATATTAAAATAGCTACACAAAAATTCACCAATTTTGGTAAGTTCTTTTTTAATGCACGCTGATATGACAGCTGCCACAATACAATCTAACAAAATTGTTCTGAGTGACATTAAAGAGAACGAAGCGCTACTAAAGCTATCTTACAGAAAAAAATCAAACGAACTTTTTGGCCAACCCAATAGACCTTCTCTATATATTCTGGATATAAGCTCTTCATTGGTTATGTGTTATATCTTCTCCCAGTCTGTGACTTGCTCTTTCTCTCTTACTGGAATCTTTTGATACACAGCACTTTTTACTTTTAATGTAGTCAAATTTAACAACCTTTTCTTTTGTGACTTTATGTTTAGTGACCTGTTTAAGAAATCTTTTCCTAAAATCAGGATTGTTTCCAAGACTTAAGGTTCTTTATTTTTTTATCACAAACATCCACCTAGGATGTGGCAAATGAGTTGAGTAAACTATGACTGTTAAACAATTTTTAGTTTTTCTCAAGTTAGTTCTATTGTAGGATGTACTTAGGTAGTAAGTATATTTAGGTCAAAGTAGTTGAGCTATGTTAAGTGTTGCTCCTGTACCACATTATATTGAACATTGGATGCATATTGGAAAACATGCTTTTTTTTGTAAAACAATATAGGAGCTGTGTTTACTATTAAAAGTCAAACATTTGGCATGCTTGTTAATTCTAATTTCATTTAATAACTTCTAAAGGTATGTAAGGTTAAGCTTTTTAAAAATTAATAGGCAAAATTTGAGGCACAATACTAATACTTTAGGATTTTGGTCTTGGTGTGTATGTGAAATTCCAAGGCTTTGATTTAAATCTTTCATTGTATGGTGATTTCCTTTTGGGCATGTTGTGTTAACTGAAACACGTCAAATAAATCTTTTTATTTAAATACAAAAAAAAAAATCTTTCCCTACCCCAAGTCAAGATAATAGTCTCCTATATTATCTAGAAATATTATGCTTTAGCCTTTCATGTTTAGACCTATGATCACACGGAACGGATTTTTGTGTATAGTTTGAGATCAGAGTAAAGCTTAATTTTTTTCCATATATGCACCCAATTCCTTCAGTATCATCTATTAAAAACACCACTACTCTGTGGTGTCACCCTTCTCATAAATGTTTGTCTTTATATCCTGTTCCATTGTTATTTTTCAACCCTTTGCACCAATATATACTGTTTTAACTCAGGAAAGCAAGTTCCTTCACTTTGTTCCTCTTCAATACGGCATGGACTATTTTCGATACTTGCCATTTCAATATAAATTTTAGATTCGGCTTCACAAAATATGAATAAATTAAATAAAATTCCATCAGGATTCTAATTGGGACTAAATTCAATGTGTCAATCAGTTTTGGAGGAATTGACATCTTTATAATTTTGAGTCTTCCAATCCATAAATATAGTATATCCCTTCACTTATTATTTCATTTTTCAATACTGTTTTATAGTTTTCTGCAAAGAAATACTGCACATTTTGCAGCTGTTGAATTCATTGTTATGTATTTGATATTTTTTATGCAATTGCAAGTAATATATATATTTTTTCAATTTCCATTTCTAAATCTGAGGCTGATGTGTGTGAAAGATAACCTCATTTTTACGTATTGACCTTGCTTCTCTCTTTTCCCCACTACTTTTATGAACATGCTGCTCCACGGCTGTCTTAGTATGCTTATGTTCAGAAGTCTGACAGCAACCAGATATTTTCTTTCTTTGTGACTTTTTCATTTTGCCTGGGGACCCGATAGAAAGCTTCATAGCTAAGGTACTGATTGCCCCCTCACTTTCTTTCACACACACAAACCTGACGTCGAAATTGCTGGCAGCATTTTCTGACCCCCAGGTCAGTAGTGTCCATGTACGGCCTGTCTTCTTGTATCCCAACCTTGACTTGACCACTAGTTTTTTAGCAACTGGGATTTAACTTGATTACATCTTAAAAAAAAAAAAAAGATTTTATTTATTTATTTTTAGAGAGAGGGGAAGGGAGGGAGAAAGAGAGGGAGAGAAACATCAATGATATGCAAGAGAAACACAGGTTGGTTGCCTCTCGTACACCCCCTACTGGGGACCTGGCCAGCAACCCAGGCATGTGCCCTGACCAGGAATCGAACCAGCAACCTTCTAGTTCACAGACTGGCAATCGATCCACTGAGCTACACCAGCCAGGGTTCATAACATCTTGATAGCTGTTTTTTTGTTCAAAGGTTTGCCTTGGATTTTCAACTTCAGGTTCATCTATTCTTTTTCTGATCATCAAAATGTCTGAGTGATATTTTGCTTTAGTTTCACTTTGCCTCAATGTAATTTAAATGGTTGGGAATGTAATAAAAGAGGATAAGTTTCACAAGCAAATGTTAGTTGCTGTCTGGAAAACTCTATCTTCAACAGGTATTTAAAGAAAGAAAAAAATGTGATCTGATAGTAGCATAGGGGAGTTAACTGGCAGAGTGCCACACCTGAGGCTTCCTTTGATACTGTTTGGTTTAGAGGCTTGAGAGGAAATTAATATAAGTATCTTCTATTTTAACAGTCAAGGAAGCTAGAGGAATTTTTAAATAATGGGAAAGTTTTTCAGGGAAAAAGGCTAAGAAACCTCAGAAAAAAGTCTACTCATTAGAGAGAGAACCTAAACACACACCAGTTTTTGTGAAACTTTGCAGAGAAGAAAAATGTTTTTCAAAAACTATAAGCTATAAACAGAGGGTTAATAGTAATAATGACATAAAAATCAACACCAAACTTACTTTGTCATTGGTAAATAGAAAGTAAGAGAGGATGGGAAGCAATTTGTCCAGAAGACTCAAAGACAGTACCTTGGAATAAAGACTAGTGAACTTTTTTAGACAATTCCAAATATATTTTTAAATATTCTTCTAACTTCCATGTTGGAAATAATGAAGATTCCCTGATTTGAAGCATAAACTTATCCAAATAGCTCAGTGATGATAAGCTAATATTAGGCCATACTTTGTAACTTTCTAAACTCCTAATAGTATTAGTCATTTTAATAGAACTAATTTCTAACTGCCTAGGTGGTAGCCCAAACATTGTTTTGCAAGTCAATTGCTTAAAACTTGGATGCATTTTCTTTTTTAAAAGGTATTTTATTTATAAATGGTAATGGGGGAAAATGCAATAAAAATTTTTTTAAATAAAGATTTTATTTACTTATTTTTAGAGAAAGGGGAAGGGAGAAAAAAGAGAGGGAGAGAAACATTGATGTGAGAGGGAAACATTGATAAGTTGGCTCTTGCACGCTGCCCAACTGGGGACCAGCCAGCAACCCAGGCATGTGTCCTGACAGGAATCAAACAGGCAACCTTTCACTTTGCTAGGCAATGCCCAACCAACTGAGCCACATCAGTCAGGACGGATGCATTTTCTTATAGATGTAAATTAGATACAAGGTTAGGTCCTAATAACCATAAAAACTCAGTATATCCACTCTGTATTTGAAATACAATACAAATGGCCCTGGCTGGTATGGCTCAGTCGGTTGGAGCATTGTCCAGTAACCTAAGGTTGTGGGTAGATCCCTGGTCAGGGCATGTACCTAGGCTGCTGGTTCACTCTGGTCAGACCGCATGCAGTCCCCCATCAAAGCGTGTATAGAAGGCAACCAATCGATGCTTCTTTCTCACATCCATGTTGCTCTCTCTCCCTTCCTTTCTCCTTCCTTCCCTCTCTATAAAGCAATTTAAAAACCTGTCGTTGGGTGAGGATAAAAAATAATTTAAATATAATACAAATGACATTATTAACCCTAACCATCATGTATAAGAAGCTTTGTAATGTGCTTAACATCCTACCAAGGACTTTAGTCTCCCATCTGGGATGCTGGAATACAAAACTGCCTGAGATAAGGTCTCCTACAGGGAAGGAGAGGGTAGTGTGGTTTGGTGGGATGGGATGGGTAAGAACTGACTAAAAGCTCCAAAGGACAGGGGTCTCCCGGAGTTGTATTCTGGACATACATTCTTGTACATATCAGACCAACTCTTCAGTTACTCTTCATACTTTTCATAGTAAAGGCACCCCAGGATAAGTGACAATTTTTCATATGCAACTCTTTTTTACTTAAGAAAAATGGCTTTTATATTGCCTTTTTAACTTTTGGTGTTGCCCAGGAAATTCTTACCTGTACTTCAACCTGCCGTTCTCTTTTGACATTAAGAAGTTGTCTTTGAAGAGATTTTATTTGCCTTCTTCCCTTTTCCTCCCTAGAAGAAATAAGAATGATTTATGTTTAGAGCAGTGCTTCTCAAATTTCAGTGTGCACAAGGATCACCTGGATGTTAAAAAACAGATTTGTGGACTCTCACCTGAGATTCTGATTCAGTAGGTCTGGGATGGGGCCCTGGAATTTGCAGTTCTAACAAGTTCACAGATGATGTTCATGGTGCTGGGCCATGGAAACACTTTGTGACACTTTTTAAAAGACTGATTTGTTTTAATAAATTGAAGGAGGATTTTTTTTTTTTTTTTGGCTTTTTAGTGTTGTATCTACAATAGCTGTTGCTGAATTACTTATGCTCAGTTTAAGCTCTTGGTTAAAGTGGTAACCCTCATATCTCTCTATTGTACAGGCACATTTTCCCCTTTGTAATACTCTGTGGGCTCTTACTGTGACACATTGAAATACCTTGTTTCCCAAGTATCTTTTATCTAATGTTTTCAGTAGCATTTCTAACTCTTGACTGAATCATTATTCACTATAAAAAGTTGCAAAATGGTGAATTTGTAATTCTATCATTCTTTCTACATTCTGGCATTCTTCCATTTAAAAATAAAAAGCTTCTCTTTTTCTGCCCCCCCCCCCAAAAATAAAATAAAATAAAACAAAATAGCTGCTGCTAAGAAAAACTAAGAGGAGAAGGTACAGGAAGAGAAAAAAAAGAATCATTTCTATTCTGAGCACTTCATATATCCTTACCTCACGATAACCTTATGCAGTAGTCTATATCATTATCCCTATTTTACAAATGAAGAAAATAGCTGAGGTAACTTGCTGTGGTGGACATGAGAACGTACCTCATAATCCTCCCACTGCAGGGCGTATTAACAAACAAACATTTTAGCTCAAGGCTCTAAAATCCTTGACTGTGTGTTCTGAGGCCTCACTTCCCACCGACTGCTCCCAGCCAGTTCTTGAGTGTGGCAGGGATACTAAGGCAGGCCCCTTCTGAGAGAACACTTTTCTAATGGTTGACTTTGACCCAAGGGCTTCCTGATGACCTTGATGAACCATTCATAAGCTTCTGAGCAGTCTCTTCCACCCAGCTTTTCCTCTCCTTCACTTGGGGACAGTCCAGCATTGGGTCTGAAGCCTCCCTTCCATTTTCTGTCACACAGGTGTTTCTCCTGGTAAAATTTTTGCATGACTAACCTCATCTTGGCATCTATCTCTCAGCAGACGCAAACCTAACACATTTGCCATGATCATGCAAACAGTAAATGGCACAGCAGGATTCAAGCTCAGTACTGTTTGAATGAGAACTTTACTACTTTATGTTATTGTTTCTGTTTGCTCTCAGAAACAGAATTCTGTTTCTCTCCAGCAATCCCATTACTTAGGTTTAAAACAAACAAAATAAAATGATATAAAGATAAAACTAAACAACAACTGTCTTAGCTATGCTGCCGTAACAAAAATATTAGAGGAGCCTGATTAGTTGGGTCAAGAAAAGAGTCTGTCAATACCACACAAATTATCCTTTTAAACAGCACACTTTAGTGGTTTTTTGGTTTATTCACTGTTGTGAAACCATCACCACTAATTCCACAAGATTTTCATCAGCCGCCAAAAGAAATCCTGTACTCATTTGCACTCACTCTCCATCCCTCTCCCCTCAGCCTGCTGCTTATGAAACTTCTCTTGGAAGAGTGGGTGGGTGGGGGTGGGGAAGGTTAAGGTCTAGTAGAGGAGAAGGCTCAGAGGAGCCTTCCATGCATAAGGATGCTCCCCCACCCCCACATCCTTGATAGGCCTTCATAACTCAGTTTTAGCAAGAATCCTGCAAAGTCAGTTTAGATGGTATCCCCTACTGTTGATACCTGATCACCCTGGATATTTGATCAAATTCCTCATTCCTCACCCTTGCTGTCTCAGCCCTTGGACTACCTTCAGGAAGAATTCTGTTAAATTAGTTTAGCAAGAATCCCCTACCCTTTATTCTCCCTTCGATCCACTGAATCCCTCACTGTTCTCATGGGCTATAAATCCCCAGCTGCCTTTGCTGAATTCAAAGGTGAGCCTGATCTCTCTCCCCTGTTGTGATAGTTTTGACACCTGTTGCAGTAGTTTTGAATAAAGTCTTCCTTACCATTTTAACAAGTGTCGGAATAACTTTTTGACAGTACATGAATATCTCAGTAAAGCTTTTTAAAAAAACTAAATAGAAAATCTTGTCTATCTCACACCTATTACTAAACTGTATGTAACTTTAAAGTACCAATCAGCCCTGGCTGGTGTGGCTCAGTGGATTCAGCACTAGCCTGCGAACTGAAGGGTTTGCTAGTTGGAGGATAGATGTTTCACACTTTGATGTTTTTCTCCCCCTTTCATCCTCCCTTCCTCCTCTCTAAAAATAAATAAAATTTAAAAATAAAATAAAATACCAATCACAATACTTAAAATACTAAAAACCATTTGTCATTGATTTACCCAAATCTAGACATAATTTTCCAATTTAAATAAATCTAAATTGATACCTATCAAATTGTAAGAAAAATTAAAAGAATAAATTATTGTAAATAATCATATAAAATCAATCACTGGTAAACTGTCTACATTAAGCTTTAAGTTATTTTCTTCCACCTACATAATGGTACCCATATCTCTGTTTTATTTTTCTTGATTAGCTTTTTTCAAAATTACAGATAAGTGTACATTATATTTCAAAACAGAATAAGAATGTATGAGGAAAAGCAGATAATATGCCATTTCCCTTCTCCCCTCCAATTGCACTCCTATGAGGTAACCAATGTTAAATCTTTTGATGTATATACATGCACATCCTTGCTATGCTCTTACATATATGAATGAGCAGGTATTCTTTATAAAAATCATGCTATACACTTTATACTGTAACTTTTTTCACTTATCTATGCATGAAAAACATTTCTACAGATCAATCATATACCTCTAATTCATTCTTTTTAACAGCAGTATGTTTTTCTTTTATAAAATTAACAATTATTCAGCACTGACTAGTATGGTTCAGTTAGTTGGGCATCATCCCACAGAGCAAAAGGTTGCCAGTTCGATTCCCAGTCAGGGCACATGCCTGGGTTACAGGCTTGATCTCAGGTCAAGGCATGTATCAGCAGCAAATAATTGATATTTTTCTCTCTTATCAATGTCTCCCTCCCTTTCTCCTTCCCTTCTCCTCTCTCTAAAAATAAATACATACATACATACATACATACATACATAAAATCTTTAAAAAATTAACAATCATTCCAGTACTCCTCTATTGAAGGACATTTATGCTATTCCTAGGTATTCATTATTGTACTACAATAAATATTTGTATATATGTATAATTTTTTTCCTATAGGCTAGATTTCCTTTTGGAATGCTAGGTCAAAGGGTATATGCTTTCTGTTTAGCTTTTCTGCTAACACTATATTTTAAAAGATTTTATTTATTTATTTTTAGAGAGGGGTAAGAGAGGGGAAAAAAGGAGGAGAGAAACATCTATGTGGGAGAGAAACTGATTGGTTGCCTCTCACATGCATCCCAACCTTACTGGCAATCCAGGCACAAGCCCTGACCAGGAATCGAACTGGCAATTTTTTGCTTTGTGAGATGACATCAACCAATTGAGCCATGCTGGTCAGGGTTCTGTTAATATGTTTAATTTCTGCCTTGGTAAATTGAAAGTTGAGAAACTACTAAAAAAAAAAAAAGATTTTTTGGAAAAAAAAACACCCATATGTTAACACATTGGTGTATTTCCTTCCAGTTCTCACTTTTTATACATATTTTTGTTAATGTGATAATATTATATTATTTCTAGTCTTTCTTTTTCTACTTAAAATTGTCACATAAATCTTTTCTCCATGTTCTTACAACATTGTAAGCAATACTTTTAATTTTTATTTATTGATTTGAGAGAAGCATTGATACCTTATGCATTGATTGGTTGATTTTTAAAAAAATATATTTTACTGATTATGCTATTACAGTTGTCCCATTTCTTTTCTCCCCTTTATTCTCCTCTGCCCTGAACCCTCCCTCCCTCTAGCATTCACTCCCACTCCACCTTAGTTCATGTCCATGGATTATACACATAAGTTCTTTAGCCTCTCCATTTCCTATACTATTCTTCACCTTCCCTGTCTATTTTGTGCCTACCAATTATGCTTCTTATTCCCTTTCCCTCATTCTCCCGCTACCCTCTCCCTGCTGATAATCCTCCATGGGATCTCCATTTCTGTGATCCTGTTCCTGTTTTAGTTGTTTGCTTAGATTGTTTTGTGGGGGTTTTTTAGGTTCAGTTGTTGATAGTTGTGAGTGTGTTGTCATTTTAATGTTCAGAGTTTTTTTATCTTTTTTTTCTTAGAATCTCTTTAATACTGACCATATCTGGGAAGCACTTTATCTGCCCTTCCATTCTAAATGATAGCTTTGCTGGATAGAGTAACCTTGGATGTAGGTCCTTGCCTTTCATGACTTTGAAAACATCTTTCCAGCCCCTTCTTGCTTGTAAGTTTTTTTCTGAGAAATCAGCTCATAGTCTTATGGAAACTCCTTTGTAGGTAACTTCTTTCCTCTTGCTGCTTTTAAGATTCCTTCTTTTCTCTTTCATCTTGGGTAATTTAATTATGATGTGTCTTAATATGTTCCTCTTTGGGTCCAACTTCTTTGGGACTCTCTGCACTACGTGGACTTGCATGTCTAGTTCCTTTGCCAGATTGGGGAAGTTTTCCTTCATTATTTTTTCAAGTAAGTTTTCAATTTGTTGCTCTTCCTCTCCTCCTTCTGGCACCCCTATGATTCGGATGTTGGAATGTTTAAAGTTATCCCAGTGGTTCCTCAACCTCTCTTCATTTTTTGAATTCTTGTTTCTTCATTCTGTTCCAGTTGAATGTTTATTTCTTCATTCTGTTCCAATTTGTTGATTTGAGTCCTGTTTTCCTTCCTTTCACTGTTGGTTCCCTGTATGTTTTTATTTCACTTTGTGTAGCGTTCACTTTTTCCTCTATTTTGCACCCA